GAATAAGACTGAAGCCATTGTCCTCATGCTGCCAGAGAGCAGGCCCAGTGAGGTCGGGGCCCTTCCTCTCTCCCCGCCCCTCCTGTAAAACGCAGTGTCACCAGGAAATGGCAGCCGTGTTCCGCTCCACTCCAGGAAGCTGTCTTGGCCAGGTCTTCAGAGCCTACCTCTGCGGAATTTGGAAGGGAAAGCCTTGTTCGAATGTTAATTTTCTGAACTTGTAAACAGTAAAGTAACAGAAATTTAACACCTAGTGAATTTACCACAGGAAAAAATGTATATGTGGCTTAACCTTTGAGTCATAATCAAGGTAACTGAGGCAGCAGGCTAAGTGCCCATGTGCATTGCTTCTGCCAGAGTTCTTTGGGGACAAAAACTAGCAGAGCTGTGCATATTCACCAGTGTGGGCCTGGCCCTCTGGCTGCTGCTGTGGCGGGCCCTGGACATGATAATCACTTGGAACGCCATTCTGTGCAGCTGAGGGCAGCGTCTCCAAGGGGAGAAGAGGACCAGTGTCCAGGCTGTGCTGCCTTTGGTTGAGCAAATAACTGTAAAATTGCTGATGGCTCCCAGCAACTCTTAGAAACAAAATTGGATTGCCTCAAGACAAAAGGCTGCAGCACAGAGAGCCCACAATTTGTAGTATGTGTCCTCTTGACACAGAAGGTACAGTGTTTTGCAAGACGGGCTCTGTGAGTGTCGCCCTCCATTACTGTTGACACGCAACTCGGATGGGGTGAAAGCCTTTGCTCCGCAGCGTGCGTCATTCATGAGCGGCAGACGCCCTGCATTCCTGCTTTCATCCGTCACGCTGACCCTTTTAGGGTCGGTCATGAGTGCTCCTGCGTGTCTCTGATTCCTGGAGTGTCTTAGATACTGCTGAATTAGGCCTCTCGGGACCAAGTCCGTTCTTCTTCGGAATTATCTGTATCTCTCTGCGGTGTCATCTTGGCCTAAACAGGATGCTTCCGTAGCTTCGTTCACATCAGACTGCTGGAAGGATTAAATCATCGGGGTGATTACATGCAGCAGCAGCTAAGGATAAAAATTGAAGACATCACTGTCTTTCAAACTGCAGCACTCTTTTGCCCTCAGAAAGCCAGTGATATTGTTATCCTTTTGGGCTGATTAGAAAATAATTTAGTAATTTGGATGCCATTTGGAGATGTGATTCGTTTCCTTGGCCCCAGGAGGACCTGTCTTGTTCAGGTGTGCCCTAACAACTGTAGAGTGCCCTGCACAGATGGCATCTCCACGTTGGAGCCTTTTAAGTCAGCACTGAGTAAGGAAGAAGGGGAGATGGACAGTGAATGTCACCAGGTGGACGATCCTTGTCCTCCAGCGGTCAGGACTCCCAGTGGTGTCACGGAGCTCGCTTGCGCACTGGGCACATTATGTAATCACACTCTCCCCGCTCCCTGCGTTTCTCATCCGTACCGTGTGCCCCTGATGATGGGAGCGTCAAGGACACATTTTTATTTCTGTAGGCAGCACGGTGCATTCGTGGAATAGAGTAGTTACGATTCAAAGTTGCGGGTTTACCAAGGCAGTTAGAGTACGCATACTCCTTTAAATCACATTTAAATGTTATAAATGAAATTTAATTCCACACTAGTACTGGGATGGGGTAGCCACTAAGGTTACATATCTGCTCCCCGTGGTAGACCGTGGAAGCGATTTATTTCCACGTGCAGGCACACTTCATCCTGTGCTGTCAGGGCTGGGGGAAATTGTTTTGAAGTTTTAGGATATTTTAGCATACCACGTTTTCTTTGAGCAAGGCATGCCTGTAAATTAAGCGCCTAAGTAGGAAGCCCATGGAAGCAAAGGCTCTTCAGCCCTGGAAGGTCTCATGTCCTCTGGCGTCACTGAGAGACTGACACCTGGGCTCGTTCGTTTAGCGAGTGCTTGCCGTGGCCTCTTGCGTGCCAGGCGCTGTGCTGGGGCGGGGGCAGCGGTGGGCAAGCCTGTGGTCTGTGAGCAGGCAGGGATGGACTCACACTTAGAGACCCTCACACAAAGGCAGTTAGCGAAAACTGGGGACAGGGCATGACACGTCGCGTGCCGTGGGCCTGCAGAGCCTTGCCTAGTCTGGGGGGCCAGAGATTCTGGGAGGAAGCGAACTTACGCTGAGATGCAAAAGGTAAACAGAAAGGTGGGCGGCGGAAGAGAGGGGCCGAGAAGGGTGTTCTGGGCAGAGGAGGGGCCATGAGAGGCCACCAAGTGGGAAGAGCACGGCCCATTGGGGCACTTGGAGCAAGGCTGGTGCTGTGGGGGGATCCTGGGGGTGGGAGAAGGACCAGCGGGGGTGGCAGGACCAGTCTCAGGGTTGGGCGAACCTGCTCGATTCTCAGAGGAGTGGCAACTGTTGAATGTTTTTAAGCAGTCTTGAATTTCTGTTTTAATCTGTGTGGAGAATGGAACGGAGCAGGCGGGAGAGGGCAGAGAGGGAGGTTAATCTGCAGTGTTTCGGGTGATGGTGGCCTTGGGGAAAGTGAATGGATTTGAGAACCAGTCGTGAAGATGGAGCCCTGGGAAACCTCGATGGATTGGAGACAAGTGGTGGGCGATTCTGGGGTCAGGTGACTCCCAGGTGCGTGGACGATTCTGGGATCAAGTGACTCCCAGGTGCGTGGACGATTCTGGGGTCAGGTGACTCCCAGGTGCGCACCTGGGGAGAGCGCTGGAGAGGGGCTGAGGCGCCAGGCCTGTCCTCCTAGACCCACTAAGTTCTGGATCAAATTTAAATTGTTGTTTCTCTTCAATGGCAAGCCCCTAAAACATGGGCTCTGCATTTCCCACTAACCAACAGAATCTCGGATTTGAGCCCATCCTTTACAGTATCGGCTCACATCTCCTCTTGGTTCCACTTCCAAGGCCCTTTAGATCTCAGGACCAGCGTTCCAGGTGAGAGGTGGACCCGACGCCAGAGTGACACAGGGCTACTGAGTGGCAGTGCAGCGCAGTCGTGCCCCGAAAGCTCAGGCAGCACGCTGGGTTCGTCCTTCCTTTGGCGCGAGGCTGTTCAGCTTCCAAGCATTGCGGTTTGCGAGGGAAGGGCAAGGTCAGAGGGGCTCGAGCCTTCCACGGCTAACACACAGCTCACTCGCGAACTTGCCTCGGCCGCAGTTGGCTCCTTTGTTCAGGCCATGCGCTGAGCAGACAGGACAGGGATCTCAGGCCTGGGGGGCTCCATGTAGAAACTATTTAATAGCATCCGGCCCCGCGGCCTGTACAGGGAGTCTGCGGTTACAGCAGAGAGACGATTTCAGGCAGAAACTTCTTTTCTGGCTCCTGCCCGAAGGGCCTGCGGGATGGGAACTGAGCTCCGGCGTCATCGCCAGCCGGGCATCCAGGTGAGCTGCAGGTCAGAATCAGCCCTTTGTTGCGTGGAAACGGGCCCAGCAAGGGCCCAGCAAGGGCGCCGCGGGTCTGTGAGCAGCCCCCGCCGCTGGGTTCTGAGTCTGCTTCCAGTCTGCAGGCTGCTCCGGAATGACCATTCTCACAGCCGCGGCTTCACACACAACAGCACTAATTTCCCTTTGGCAGATTCCTAGACATTAAATTGCTAATTGAGAGAGACGTCAATTCTGAGGCTTCTGACAGGCTTTGCAGAATTCTGCCTGTGGCGGCGTACACCAGTGAACGCTCCCACCAAAAACTGAATGGTTTCCCGGTAGTCACTGCTTTCTCTTGTCCCTTTTGCCCCTGACCGAAATGTCCTCTTTAGGGTGTGACATTTTTCACTCCCCTTCTCGAGCTTTGTCTCATTTTACTTCCTTCTTTGAGGCTCCCCTCGCACCCTGTGGCCTCTCCTGAGCAGACCTTGCGAAATGTTCTCCTGTGAATGACAGTGTGTCCCGAGTTCCAGTTTCGAAGTGTCTCTAGCTCCAGAGCTGGTGTGCAGATACGTCACTGGCCTCACGAATAACGAGGAATCAGTATCGCTGGAAGTGGTGACAGCCTGGGTGTGTCACTGTCTCCAAAATCATCCCATCGTGCCATGCTACAAATGTGCCGCACGTGGTGTTTCTCTAGGGAGGGTTCTCGGGCATAGATTAGAGAAACTGGACTCTGAGGCTTTGGATTGACAAGAATAATTTGTAAACAGATAGTGCACATTTCATCCTTGGTATTTTTCGGCGCTGTGCAAGGCATCTTGAATTACTCGGGTAGCTTTTCCAGGACGACTGACTGACTCCCCATATTTCTCGGGTTACAGTAAAGGCAGAGCACCCAAGGCCCTGCCTGAGCGTTGGGTGCCGGAAGCCAGGGCGGGCTGTGGGAGGGAAGGGATCGGGGACGGGTCCTAGGCTCCTGAAGCCACCACGTGGCCCCGTAACACGTGCTCCCGGGGGGTTCCCAGGAAGGATTGGGGCTCCTCTGCGCCCTGTGACGCATGGGGGCTTCCCCTGCCCCGTTCGCACTCTGGCCTGCTCCAGACACTTCAGCGGAGGCCTGCAGCCGATTCCCAGGGGCCGGGTTTTCCTGCGAGGAAGCAGTCAGGGCCTCCTTTGTCAGGGGAATCTTTCAGGAGTAGTTTTGGTCAGAGTCTGTTGAGTTCAGGTGGCGTATGGCGAGGAGAGGATTTGGAATCGGGGGCCCCGGATTTGAACCTCTGCTCCATACTTACTGGCTGTGTGACCCCCCCAGCCTCATCCAGCTCTTAACCTGTTTCCTCATGAGCAAGTGAAGTGACTTTGGACCCTGTACTGGACATAGCTCGCTCGTGTGCCAGGCGCGGTACTAACGCACACAATAAGGTGCTCAGGAAGCAGAGGCTTCTGTCTCTGCACTTGGGCCTCACTGCGGTGACAGGAATGTAGACCCCCAAGGTCCCTGCACTCCAGGCTCCATTGGTTTCCTTCTCTCTCCTGGAGGAGTGCAGCCATCTGCATCCAGAGCCCAGGAGGGCAGGCGGAGGGCAGCTCCCTCTTCCAGCTGACCACCCTGGGACCCTCGTTGTCAGGGACAGCAACCAGGGTCTGTGTTTCCCACAGGTCACCTGGATGTCAGCATGGCAGCCACAAACCTGGAGAACCAGTTGCACAGTGCACAGAAGAACCTCTTGTTCCTTCAGCGGGAGCACGCCAGCACACTCAAGGGGCTGCACGCCGAGATCCGGCGACTGCAGCAACACTGCACAGGTATCCTGGGGCAGGGGCCAGGGCCGCAGACAGACGGACAGCTGTGGCACAGCAGAGCCCGTCATCGGGACACAGTGGCTGGATGAGAAGCCGGCCAGGCCAGCTCTCGCCAGCTCCTCATCCTCACAGGCGTCCGCATGAATTACCGCATAATGGGGACGCACTGAGCCGGAGCCTTTTCTTGGCATACTGAGGACGTAAAGGGTTGAAATACAATGGTTAGAATTTACGATGCAGTTTGGAAAGGATAACCAAGGTGTAGTGTATAGAGCAAGTTGCTCGCTGATTTTGGATTGTTGGGATGTGTGTTTTGGGGGAAAGGAGATAGGGGTTCTTGGGGGAAAGGAGGGTCCCCTCTTGACCATAGTAAGGACAGTGGCCGCTGATATCTTCTGCTGTTCTCATGCTTGCTTCTGAGCTGCCAAACCCTGCCCTGTCTGGGCACCACTTGCTACCTAATCATGGGAATCAGTTCTGCATTCTCAGAGCTGATGGTTTTGAAATGTACCGTAACAGAACTAATGTATAAAATTTCCTTTTTAGATTTGACGTATGAACTGACAGTCAAAAGTTCCGAACAGACAGGTAAGAACTCCTCCCCAAAAGTTAATAACAGTATCGTTTCCTTTTGTGGTTTGTGTTGGCACCATTTGTTTTCACTAGTTACACACTTAGGAGAAAACACACTTGATATGAAGAGTTCCTATGTGGCAAGAGCTGGCTAAGGAAAGATGAGAAGGATGTTTGGACCCCTCAGTGTTAGAAGTGGTTATCAGTGGGCAGGGGGATGAGAGATTTTATTTTCTTTGATTGATACATGTCTTTACAATGTCTGTTATATGCTTTTCTGGATTTTCTGACTTCTCTACAATGAATATGTGCTTCTTGTGTGATCAGGACGTAAAAATAGATGTGAGTTAAACCCAAAAGGTGGAAAAGGAGCGGCAGTGCTAGGCAGAACACCCCCTTCCCAGCCCCCGTCCCCTATAGCTTAGCAAGGGGCCTGGTGAGAGCAGGTGCTCTCTAAACACCGGCTGGGTGAGTGACACACAACTAGATGCCCCCAGAGGATCAGTGACCATCTTTCTCTGGACTGCAGTCCCAGAAATACTTCCCCCAACCAGAATCCTCTAGAACATCAGGGAACCACAAAGGGTGTTAGGCTGACGGCAGCTGGGGCTAAAGAGACAGAAACCTGGGCCTTCCCAGGGTCCCCTGTGCCTGCTGCAAACAGCGGGCTCCCCAGAGCAGGGTGGAGAGGCAGAGAACGCAGAGTCCGCATTTGGGGCCAGATGCGTCTTTCTAAATCGGCTTCCCAAGGGCAGTTATTATTCATGAGAGTGTCCAAGTCCTTGTGAGAGACACGGACTATTTCCGGAGTCTCGGGATATTACTGAGCCCCGAGTTTTCCATTTGCGTTCCTCAGATTACAGTCCCCTAAGTGCTCCTTTCAGGAGCCAACACATCTTTTTGTCTGTGTATGGGAGAGAAGGCACAGTCAGACTTCTCAGGCCTTGGGACAGGAGTCCCCATGTAGAGGAGAAAGACCACCAGGGTCCTGTCTCGCAGTCCCTGAGGCCAGCACTGGGCCTCCAGGAATTCAGGAGGAGATTTCAACCTGGAGTCGTGGGCCCCAGCCTCCACCCCTGCCAAAACCAAAGCCTCCAAAGGAGCTGTCCTTCATGGAAACCAGGTGTCCTCACTGCCGTCCCTCTCGGCCCAGGCTAATCTGCAAAGTACAGTTCCTGCCCTTTGGCTTCTCCAGTTGAGGTTCTCAACCCTGAGTCCCAAGGCCACCCGCCCACTTGGTGCGGTCCCCTCATCAGCAACAGGGTCCTGGAGGTAGCAGTTTGCAGGGTGCGTCTCGGTGCCGAGGTGGCGAAAGCTTCTCGGGCGGTTCTGGTGGGGCGCCAGCCCTCCCCAGTGGTGAAAATCATCGCTTTACATTGCTGTGCCCCAAGCTTGCCCAATCTTAAGAAGCTGTAGGATACAGGTTAAAAGTACAGACTCCTGGATTCCAAAAGTCTGGGAGAGGGCCTGGGAATCTCTATGTTTAAGAAGTGCTGTAGGCCAGATGCAGTGGCTCACTCCTATAATCCCAGCACTTTGGGAGGCCGAGATGGGAGGATTGCTTGAGGCCAGGAGTTCAAGATCACCCTGAGCAACATAGCGAGACCCTGTCTCTATAAAAGACTAAAAAATTAGCTGGGTATGGTGGTACACGCCTGTAGTCCCAGCTCCTCAGGAGGCTGAGGCAGGAGGAGGATCACTTGAGCCCAGGAGTTTGAGGCTACCATGAGCTGTGATCACACCACTGCACCCCAGCCTGGGCAACAGAACGAGACCCCATCTCTCAGAAGAAAAAGGCTGCAGTGATGTAGTGCTCAGGCAGGCTGGGAAATACCACTTTCAGTAACAAAGAGCAGTTGCTGCCATCAGCTCAGTGTTCGTGCAGCTTAATGGGGAGAGAATGGAATTTCTAGAAAGGGTGTGTGTGTAGAGGAAGAGGTGGAGTGGAGCTTCCTATGAAAAGTGGAAAATTGGCAAAACAGGAGGTGCTGATTTGCAGGAAGGACAGTCACCAGAGAGCTCTCCAGAGTCTGGGGACAGAAGAGCACTAGCTCCTTGGCCCAGGAGCACCCACTGAGTTGGGGCCAAGCATCAGTCCAGAGGCAGGGCCACCCTAGGGGGAGAAGGCACAGCTAGGATGGTAAGGGACAGCCAAAAGAACACCCACTACTCGACAGTCTCTGCTCTGACTGGGAGCAGCTGTGTGCTCTTGGCAAGTTCTTTAACATCTCTGAACCTGTGTCATCTGACAGCCCACAAATGCTAGTCCCGCCTGACCACCAGGGCCTTCTGCCTTCACGCACTGCCCCTCATCCACCCTTCAGACACGCGCCAAGCCCAGGGAGAGCCTTGTTCTCAAGTGTTCCAGATGTCTGTCAGCCCGTACAGCACTGCCTGGAGGGAGAGAAAGCCCAGATCTTCACGTCTGGCTGGGCATGTGGTCGAAGGACTGAGGTTGCAGACCCTCCTCCACCTGAGCGAGGGTCCTATGTCAGACTCAGGCCATTGCCCCATGGGGGCAGGGGAAGGGCAGTGGGCACCGAGCCTGAGCTGGTGTGCCCCAGTCAGCATTTCTGCTTGCAGGGGCCAGCCCTGGTGGCCGGGCTCCTGGGTCTCACCGGTGGATTTACAGTCCTGTATTTGTCACTCTTTTTACCTCTGAAACTGTTCTAGAATACATTTTTTTTTTTTTTTGAGACAGAGTCTGGCTCTGTTGCCGAGGTTAGAGTGCCGTGGTGTCAGCCTAGCTCACGGCAACCTCAAACTCCTGGGCTCAAGTGATCCTCCTGCCTCAGCCTCCCGAGTAGCTGGGACTACAGGCATGCTATATATGTTTTTAGTTGTCCAGATAATTTCTTTCTATTTTTAGTAGAGATGGGGTCTCACTCTTGCTGAGGGTGGTCTTGAACTCCTGACCTCGAGTGGTCCTGCCACCTCCCAGAGTGCTAGGATTACAGGCATGAGCCACTGCGCCCAGCGTAGAATGCATTTTTGTTTTGTGGGGAAAAAAAGCCTTATGAAAAATAGTTTTGCAAACATCCTTTCCAGGGAGGTCATTTGCCGACATTAAGCACACACACACACATAGACGTGGTTTTTAGAAATACAAACGGTTACTAACTTGCAATGGTTCACCTTCTGATTTCTCGACATTATGGGGTGATAGGTATTCAGTATGCTCCTTGACTTACGATGGGGCCATGTCCGGATAAACCCCTCGTCAGTTGAGAATGTCGACAATACACTTTTCACTTGATGATATCTAGCTTACGTGGGATGTATTGTGACATAACCCCATTGTGAGTCGAGGAGCACCTGTGCAAGGTCGCCTACGGCGAGCTTGCCCCTGCACGCGCCCTGCCCGAAACAAGTGTGGTCAGCTGTAGGGCCTTGAGAAGCTCCAGGTCTGGCTGACAGAATGTGTCACAGAAGCTGCAGCTCAGGCAGTGGGAAATGCCAGGAGAGACAGACAGAGGCTCTGAAGGACGTCCAGCACAGACCCTGGGGTGGTGAGTGTTGTCCAAGGAGATTGGACACATCTGGAGTTAGATCAGGGACAGAAGTTACAGTAAAGACACAGAACAAGAGGGCAGGCATGGGCGGCGGGGGTGCTTGCTGTTCGTGTGGGAGCAGGTACCATGGGACACACTGAGGAACTGGAGGCCATCGGGCAGTTCAGATGTTGTCAGACGGCGAGGAGCCATTTGTGAACAGGGGAGGAGAACATTTAGAGGGTGACCAAGCTGGTTAACTGCTAGATGGCGTGGAGGGAAGACCAGAGGGGCTAGAGCACGGCCAGGAAGCAGGCGCAGGGATGAGTCTGCCGAGAGCTGACAGGCACAAGCAGAGTAGGGGAGGGGAGGGCTAGAGGTGGCCGTGGAACGTCTGGATTCTGTCTGGCTGGGAAGATGGAGACGTGGGAAGGGGAGCGGCTGTCTAGATTTGAGGGACATGTCTGGCATCACTGGGAGAACTGGAGCTCAGGAGACACTGACTCGGGAGTGGACGCAAGGTGAGTTCCAGATCAGCAAGGAAGAGTCTAGAAAGGACTTCCTGGGGGTCCTGAAAAGAATTTGGCATGCATGGGATTAAAACAAAAAGTGTGGATGAGTTTCCTAGTAGTGCTCACAGGGGGCCAGGTGAGGAGGACGGCCAAGCAGGGTGGTGGCACCAGGTCCAGAGCCAAGGGTGCTAGGTGCAGCCAGCAGGTGAGAGGCGCAGGCAGCTGGGGACAAGGCCTGCAGGTCACTGCAGCAGCAGAGGTCGGGGGGGCGAGGGCAGGCACACAGGGACGACAACAGCCCTGGTGTCAGGGTGGGCGCAGGGACAGGGACGCCTCACTGCACAGGAGCAAGAGAGGACGAGAGGCAGAGAGAGGAGACCAGAGGCAAGGGAAGGGCAATAGCCTGACCTTGCTTCTCCTCTCAGCTGCAGAGTTTTATGCTCTAGACGTGGAGAATCCTTTTTACCTTTGAGTTTCAAAACAGTGCTTTGAATGTAGCAGGCATTTAGTAAACACCACCTGAGCAGACACAGGGATTCGGTGCCAGTTCAATCCTAAGTATTTGGTGAGGTCTAACCCTCTGAGATTGTAAAAACGCTGAAGTTCAAGCAGTTACCAGACATTGTCTCATGCAATAAGCCAGAGCTGTGAGCGCAGAAACGGGCCTGGCCATCCCCCGCCCTCGGAGGCCCTGGCCCTTGCCCCTCGCCTGCCCCCGGGCCTCACAGTGCCGCCTCAGTCTGGCGGGTCCTTCACTTGCTGCCTTGGCTGCTTCTTGTAGGCGATGGGTGTTCCAGAAGCAGTGAGCTGCAGAAGAGGTGTGAGGAGCTGGAAGCGCAGCTGAAGGCCAAGGAGGAGGAGAACACGGAGCTGCTGCGGGAGCTGGAGCAGAAGAACGCGATGATCGCGGTGCTGGAGAACACCCTGCGCGAGCGGGAGCGCAAGTACCTGGAGGAGCTGAAGGTCAAGAGCCACAAGCTGAGCCTGCTGTCGGGCGAGCTGGAGCAGCGCGCGGGCACCATCGCCTACCTGACGGCGCAGCTGCACGCCACCAAGAAGAAGCTCATGAGCTCCAGCGGGACCTCGGACGCCAGCCCATCGGGGAGCCCCGTGCTGGCCAGCTACAAGCCGGCACCCCCCAGAGACAAGCTGCCCGAGACGCCGCGCCGCCGCATGAAGAAGAGCCTGTCGGCGCCCCTGCACCCGGAATTCGAAGAGGTCTACCGATTCGGGGCCGAGAGCCGGAAGCTACTCCTGCGGGAACCGGTGGACGCCATGCCCGACCCCACCCCGTTCCTGCTGGCCAGGGAGTCGGCCGAGGTCCACCTCAAAGAGCGGCCTCTCGTCATCCCGCCCATCGCCTCTGAGCGCAGCACCGGCGAGCAGCACAGCCCGGCCCGCGACAAGCAGCACAAGGCCCACGTGGGGGTGGCCCACCGCATCCACCACGTGGCCCCGCCGCAGGCGCAGCCCGAGGTGGAGACGCTGGCGGTCGACCAGGTGAACGGGGGCAAGGCGGCGAGGAAGCAGCCGGGCACGGACAGAACTGTGTGAGCCGCCGGCGCCCGCTGTCCACGCACTGTGAGCACTACTAGGAAACTCATCCACATTTTTGTTTTAATCCCGTGCATGCCAAATTCTTTTCAGACCTGTCCACCGATTCTCCTCCGCCTGCCCTCCGAGTCCCTGCTGCAGAAGACGTATTTACCATCTGCCGTGGCCAAACACCTGCGTGCCGGTCGCTTGCTTCTAACCCACTCTGTGTAAGTGAAGCGCTTGCGCACAGAGCGCAGGCCTCAGGCCGCGCCACTACGCGACGTTCGTGACATCAGATAGCCTCACGCCAAATTGCAAAGTCTGAGCAACACATACCAACCTTGACCTTCCCCCTGGGCTCCAGGGCAGCCTGTGCGAAGCAGCCCCTGCTCCCTCCTGGAGACCCTGTAACCTCCCCACAGACCTTTCCCAGGGCGGCACCGATCACCGAGCAGCTGTGTGTATAGCTCAAGGAACTAAATAAGATGACGTTACTCCTCATAGCACCGCAACCTGAATGTGTGTTCATATTTTTTTGTTAGGTTTATCCAAAATGTTTAAGATCCCAACAAACTTTATTTTCTAAACCTGCCTTCTTTCTGTTTTTTTGTGTCTTTTATTAAACCACCTGAGGGAGGGCTGGAAGGAGATTGTGGGAGGGGGAGAAATAGCAGGTCCCCAGCAGTAGCTGCCACCTCCTCACTGTCCAGAGCTAGTCCTTGGGACATTCTGTCCTCAGCCCAGCCACTCCTTGCCTCCGGCCAGCCTCATGGTACACAGAGGGAAGGGGTGTCCAGTGGCCACCGGTTCCAAGTCTGTGCCCAACCCCACACAAACTCAGGCAGGCTGGGCTCAGGAGCTCGTGCAGGAATGAAACCCAAGCTCAACAGCCACACTGGTACCCTGGCAGGTCAGAGCCAAAGGATCTGGGGCCAGAGATTTCTGGAATGGAAAGAAGCGACTGCAGGTGAGTCTGGCCACTTCTGCTCTGTGCCACCATCAGGCCAGCCTGCCACCAGCTGGGGGGGCGGGGCTCTGCCTGAAATCCCACCCCCAGCGGCCTCCACCTTTTGAGTGGACAGCTCTTGCCAAAAAGGAGCATCTGCTGACACAGACCTGGGTTGTCAAACACCCCTTCGGAGGTTTACGTTAGGACTCTTACTCGGGCCAGTGGCGCGCCAGGCACTTCTGCTTAATCAAGTGTTTCCTCTGAGAACGAAAAGAAAACACCACATCTTGAAATGCTCTCTAGTATTTAGTTTTTGAATCTACAGAATCCTAAAAAAAAAAAAAAAAAGTTAAAAAAAAACCATTTGGGTTAATTTGTATGGAAAGAGTTAAATAACTGATTTCCAATGTAAGGAAGATCGTTGTCAATCCCCTCCTGCCCCTTGAGAGGCCACAAGAAACAACAGCAGACATGACCGTCCTCCTCTTGTCCCCAGAGCATCCACCACCAGCCAGACTCGGGATTCGGCGTCCAGTTTCCTTTGCCCGGCGGCTAATCAGAGTTGAGGGTGAGGCACACCCCTTGCAGTACCCAGTGAGAAAGGTGCTTCGTGGTAAAGAGATCAGCTTCAAAGACCAAGCCAACGCCCATGGCGTTCCTTCTCATGGAGGTGGTGTAGACAGGGGTCCGGAAGGTATTCTGCAAGGGAAAGGCAGGTGAGACGCTCCCACGGAGAGAGGAGGCATAACCCAAGGGCAGGGGCCCATGAGCAAGGCTGTCTGAGAACGGAGGTGTGGCCGAGGCTCTGCAAGGCCATCCCCTGCCAACTCAGCGGGGGCTGGGCTCACACGGACATGCTTGTTATCAGTGGACCCCGGCCAGGGCAAAGCAGACGGCGCCTGCTGTCCACACCAGGTGTAACTGCTTCGTAATGCAAGCCATGTCCGCAGAATGTCACAAGCGAGGGAGTCTCCTTAGTCTAGACCACAGGATCGAAACTGGAACCTGACACTTGGGGAATGATCACCCTGTGTGCATCTGTGCATCTTCCCAGAAGTGGCTGCACAGCTTTTATCACGTCTCCAAGGCTTCCCCGGCCCACAGGGGTTAAGAGCCCCTGTTTTAAAAGGCACCGCCCTTGGAAACCACCTCGGCCATCACTGCCGTGGGCACTGGAGCCGGAGCGCGGGGGCTGGCCTCACCTGCAGTTTGAGGCGATGGGCTTCAATGGGGATGATCTTCAGGATGGGCAGGTCCACAACCAGCACCTTGGGTTTGCTCTTGACCAGACATCCTCTCTCTATGTCCCAGTCGGCACCTTCCAGGTACAGTCCCGAGACAAAGCACCCTAGCGACACCAGGAAGAGACGGGCTGTGTGCAGAGGCACCGGCGCCTGCCGTGCGGCAGCTCTGTCGATGCACACGAAGGCCACTGCGAGGCCCCCTCCCCGAGGTGCCGAGGGCACCCGCAGCCCAGGCCTCTCTCCATCATTTCTGTCCTGCCCATCTTCCCCTTCTAGGGGGACAGCCCAGACAGGAGACACTGCAGACCCCATGACCTCCCCTATGGCCCCAGAGGTGGACAAGGGGTGTCTCTCCCAAGCAGGGCCCATCAGATCCGCCCCGCTCCCCAGGAATATGACCTCGAGGCAACAGACGTAGATCACCTGGGCCCTCACGCTACAAAGACAAGTGGCAGAGTCAGTGGGCACCATGGCAACCCCAGCTCCCCTGTGAGCCAAGTAGCTCAGAACCGGGAAGCTGAGGCTTGCAGAGAGAGAGTTGTCTCCAGGGAGGAGGGCCCGACAGACAGGCAGAGAGCAACAGGGAAGAGGATGATCCTCTGGCCCCAGAGAGAGTGGCAGCCCAGACACTTGCCAGCTCCTCGGAGAGCCAGCTGGACTCTTGCAGCTGGGACCTGCGAGAGGCCCTGAATCTTTATGGGAAGCGCTGCTCCTTAGGCTAGCTCAGGAAGGCTTCTGTTCCTTGCAGTTAAATGGCCACTAAGACAACATGGCCCCGGGAAACAGTAGTTTCCAGCTGCCATTTGCACAGTCAGTAACCAAAGTCTAAGGGACCTGAAGTTATAGAATAATTTAATGGTTCCAACCAAGCTACTCACACTGCACTCCGTCTCCCATGCCGCTGGCCCCATCAAAGTTTACAGGGAAGCCACCCGGTGACTTAATGCTAGAGCAGTTCTGGCCTAGGAGCTCATTCCCCACCGACGAGCAGGGTGAACACGGTTCAGGTCTGCCCCAAGAGCCCCAGGTGAAAGAGAAACTTAGGTATTCACCCTCAGAGCTGTCAAGACACGGGCGGTGCACACTGTGCTTGTCCCTTTGAATTGAGGGTGCCTCAGGGACAGGAGCCCTAAGTGAGAGCCTGTGGCCATAACAAGCTCACTGTACCTTGTCCTGCCCGCTCATTCACTTCGTCCGCATCTCGGAACTTGGTCACTTGCGTGAACAAGGTGGAACGGTCCAGAGGCCAGCCGTTCTTCCTGCAGGTGGCCTGCACCAGGGCCGTGAGGTAGGACTCTGGGACGTGCAGCCCTGAGAGCCACATCACACTGGGCTCGCTCTCGGTGACCTGGAGAAAGGTGAGGGCCCGTGGTGGGAGCCCGGCACTGCCCTCTCGTGCCAGGGCCAATGCTGGCCGTGGCAGTGCAGCTCCTGATAAAAGACGCATTGCATCTTGCAAAAGATGGTGTCAGCACAGATGGCAGCCCACTTGGGAAAAGCAAACTGATTCCAGATGGATCAAAGATTTAGATATAAAAATAAAACCACAAAAGTACTGGATCAAATCTCCAGTGAATGTTCTCATAGTCATGGAGTGGGAAATGCAAAGCCCAGAAAGCATTAAAAAAAAAAAAAGACTGGTACATTTGACTACATAAAAATTTAAAACTTTTCTATGGAAAAAAACAGCACAAGCAAAGTCAAGATTTGTGACAAACTGGGAGAAACATTTACAACACCGGCAGACAAAGGGCTAATGTCTTTGACATACAGAGAGCTCTCGAACATGAATGGAAAAGATGGCGACCTCCATAAAAATGAAATTGAGATATGAAAAGACAATTCACAGGAAAAGAAACAAAACATAAGCATGTGAAGTACACTCAGCCTCCCCATAATTAAAAAAATGCAAAGCAACACAGTGAGATACCATCTTTCACCTATCAGGGAGGCAATGATCCAAAACATCAGGAATACAGTGTCGCAGAGGGGTGAGGAAAGATCACTCTCGCATACTGTGGTTTCGACTTCTCTAGAGAGCCATCTGATGAGGCCTACCGAAAGTTAAAAGGCACACACTCTCTGATCCAACCGCACTAGCAGAATTTACCCACGGAGGATACTCATATGCGTATCATAGGCATGTGCACCAGAACGTTCTTTGTACTAGCAAAAGAAAAATATGGTAACCACCTAAATGTCCATTGTAGGAGGAAGGATATGGAATATTAGTAAAGGGCAATACTCTAAAAAGAATGAGTTAGATCTATATGTACTGATATGGAACAATTGCCAAGAGATACTCTTAGATAAAATAATCAAGTATGTATAGTATGCTTTAAAGTCTTAAAAACAGGGCGCGGTGGCTCATGCCTGTAATCCTAGCACTCAGGGAGGCCGAGGCAGGAGGATCACTTGAGCTCAGGAGTTTGAGGTTGCTGCGAGCTGTGATGACACTACTGCACTCTAGCCGGGGCAAAAAGAAAAACTCTTAAAAACAGAAAAGGAAAAACAGAAGATACAGATATGCTTATAGAATCTGAGAACACTTCTAGAGCACCCAATAAACTTTAACAGAGGTTCCTCCTGGGGACTGGGTGGGGGGTTCAGGGTGGTTTGAGGGAGTCCACGTTGCCCCTCGAACCAGCAGACAGGCAGGGACGTCTCACTCACCCACAGCGTGTACTGGCTGAACCGCCGCAGGAAGTAGACGATCCAGTTTCCAAGGGACTTTAAGGTGTCAGGGGCAAGCTTTCTCCAGATACTAGGGATACTCCCAATCAGAAGAGACCTGGCCACATCATCTAACTCGCTGCTCATCCCAACTTCTCCAGCCAAGGCCTATTTAACATCAAGGGCAAACAGGCAAGACTCGGTCAGAAACCCGGGCGCTACACCAGTGCCGTCATCTGCACGTTAGAAACACGCTCACCCTCTGCAGCTCGGCCAGAGACCTGGTCATCCGCCCCACGAGCCTGTTGAAGCGCTCCAGCTCCTGCAGCAGCACCACGGACGTGGGCGAGATCCCGGCGCCGAGGTGCTTCTTGACCTGGTCCAAGTCAAAGACTTTGGGCATCTTGTTTTCTATGTCCTTGGCCACTTGGCCAATGTAATCATCGCGGCTGACGCCACTGCTGGATTCCCCTGAAACCGGGACACGTTTTAGAGAAAGCAAGGCATCTGCGGGCAGCGTGGGGCCCCCGGAGCCTCTTGGCTCTTGGGAAGGGCACAGCAACGTGGGAAAGCCACGAGCACCGACCAGCAGCACCGGTGCAGACGCGGAAGCCCTGCCCAGACGGACGCCGTCCTCCGGAGACTCACCCGTCTGAGGCTGCAGCTCCAGGAGGTGAGTCCACATGTCTCGAGCCGCCTGCGTGTAATAGCCGATCTCGGCATTGGAATGAAGGCCAAACACTTCGGGCGTGTTTGCAAGCGGCAGGGCCTCGATGGCTTCTGTCGTCACAGAGAACAGAGGAGACAGCATCAAGCCACCTTTGATTTCGGAGGGCCCACGGCCTTAAAATCCCCACACGTGCAAGACTAATCTCCGCTGCTTACTGGGTAACATGTTTTTAATTGAAAACTCTGCACCACCACACCCAGTCCAGCTATATGTTTATCGTTTATGAAAATGGTTCAGTGAGCTTCCCAGTGGCCACTCTGCCCTTCCGGGTGGGAGCGGATATATTACCAGGGTTCCAGGACTAGCTCTGAGCTAACTCTGTCAGCTCTCAGGCCAGGAGGAGCCTGGTGGGCTGCCTGGCAGGGTTAACAGACCACACCTGGCCAGCCAAGGGCCCCAGCAGCAGAGGGCTCACAAGAGCTGCCAAGACAACTGCAGAGAACGAAACAGTTTAAATGTATCATCTCCCTTAGAAATGGCCTTAAAAATACGCTTTCGTATCTGAGAAATCTCACCAACAAACTTTTCCTTTACATCACCAGCAGGGATTTTATAGTCCACTTCCTTGTTCCGGAAGAAGTGGAACGGCTGGAAAGTATCAAAAATGAAGTCTCCCAGGTATTCGTCCATGTAGATGGTCAGGATGCGACGATCAAAGCTGTCGATGGCCCGTCCTCCGTACATGACCTGAAAGTCGAGGGGTGAGAGCCAGCCAGGGAACAGAACCTCCTGTGTGCACCCCGGGGCCCCCCAGGGCAAGAGGCTAAAGGATCAAGACCAAATTCGTCCTCGGAGAGATTCTGGCAGCCCAGCCACCGTGCCGCTCAGCCCTGTTGGCTCAAATAAACTTTCGGGCCAGCGTATGCAAGAGGATTTGTTCACAAACCATACTGCGGCTTTGCTGGCTTCCCCGGGAACGGAGCCCGAGGTACTAAGGAGCCTTCGTGAGGTCCTGGGGGCCGGCATGCCCTGGGGAAAATCCCCCAAACACACCGAACAACCAAAAAGTCAAAACCCAAGAAGCCTGCAGCCACTTTTGTCTTTGGAATTGATGTCACCATCTGATCATGCGCAGACCACCAGGGGAGCTTTGCCGTGAGCTCTGTATACAGTGGTGGCCTCCCTGCCTGACGATGCACCTGAGTGTGGCTAGGCAGGTCCTCGCGGTGCTGGCCTGGGCCAAGAACCCAGCTCAGGGGCCGTCCGTGTCAGTGGAGCTCACTGAGGACAAAGAACCACAGGACCAGGCACAAATTCCCGGAGACCCGAGGGGCCTTCGGCCGAAGGGAGCAGACCCCAGCGCGGCCTTCCCCGCGCTCCTACCTCTCCAATGAGGTACTTGAGGCTGCCCCACGGGATCCTGGGGTCGCGCTGCTGGAAGGCTTTCGTTAGGTACGTGTTCAGAATTTCCATGCAGACCTTGGAAGGGGAGGAGCGGGCTCGGTTACACAAACCTGCAGACTCAGTCCCATCCCGACGGCCGGAAAGGCGGCGAGAGCCCCCCCGCTGGGGTCGGCCTTGGCGGGAAGGGCTGGAGCAGCCGCCCAGGGCAGCGGGTCCCCAGGGGCGGCCACCGCGCTCCCACCTGGAAGTCGGACTCGTTGAAGTCGTAGTACACGTTCCAGCCGATCTTCCCGAACTTCCTGCGCTCCAGCACCACCGCGTGGAAGAACGCCAGCACGTAGACCAGCGGCTTGAAGGCCGGGTGTGGGCACTGCTGCAGCGTGTCGTGGGAGATCTTGAAGTAAGTGGCCCTCATGTTCAGTTTCAGCCCGTTGGGCGGCTCCGTGACAACCTGCGGAAGGGAAGAAAACAGAAGGCGATGGAAACCGCGGCTACAGCCGTGAGCGGCCTGCAAAACGCAGGCTCCCGGCTTTTCCTTCCTCCTTACGGAGCCGCCTGGCCCCGTCCCCAATAGCCCAAGTCTCTCAGCGGGGCCCAGACCCAGACGTGAAAGGACGAGACGTTCTAGCTCTGTCCCTGCTTGTTGAGGGACCCTGTGAAGACTCCTTGACCTTTCTGTGAACCGCGGGGTCCTCAACTGTAAAATGACGTCTCCCTCCGCCTGCCCCAGAGAGAGAGGACGAAACCTTTCCAGAAGGACTCCCTGGAGACAAAACGAGGCACGGAAACCACTCGAAACTTCCACACACAACCACTGCAGTCTGTGGGTGGGCTGTCGTGAGCGATAAAGGGGGTTCAGTCAATGTGAAGTGCACGAAACTGACCCAGGGTCATGAGGGACACAGGCCACCGTGGTAAAGGAAGCCCTGGAGTCACAGCACCCAACTCAGGACAGTGGCTCCCTCTGAGGGGGGGCGGGGGCGGGACTGGGGAAGGGCACCCACCAGGTTCCAGGCACAGCCTGAGCCCTACACAGACACACACACACAGCACGCAGCAGTGATCCGCGGAGCAGGGACGTGGGTGCCCCGGCGTCTGTCCCGAAGCCAGACCTTCAAGGACTTCTGCAGAATCCCGACGGGGAAGCCCCGCGTGGGGTCCGTGGTGAGCCACAGGCGGAAGTCGGGGTGGGGCTTGGTGATCCTCTCCAGGGACTTCTCCAGGTCTTTCAGCCACTTGACCAGGAGATGGCAGTTCTGCAGCATCAGCCACTGCCCGCGAGCCACGGCCGTCTCCAGCAGCTGCAGCGCCACCTGCGCGGAGGGAGCAGCAGGGGAAGCGTTGGAGTCCCAAAGCCACACCGGCCCTGCGCTCTCCAGAGACCCACTCCCAGCACAGAGTGTCACAGAGAAGTCACAGCCCACTCCAGCGGAAGCAAGCCGGTGACCCAGGAGCTACGGTGGGAGCCCTCAGGCAGCCTGTGTGCGCTGGGCTGCCCGCGGTCCGGAGGATGGGCGAGCGTCCCGCACCCACCGGCCTCCACGGCCCCAAGAGCTCGCGCCCCTCCACACGGTCGCACCTGCACCCAGAGCACCCCCAGAGCAGGGCTGCAGGAGACCAACTCACACCCACCAGCAAGTGGGACTGTTCCCGCCACCTTACGAACTTAAGGGCCCTAAGCACGGAGAACAATCGCAACGTTGCTTCCCAGATGTAACTCAAAGTCCAGACAAGCTGAACACTCCTGCGAAACCTTGCTCTCTGAAATGGCTCAAAACTTACACAGTGCTGACGGTACAATCGCTAACTTTGGTTTCGTGGTTTGAGAGAGCTGGCTCCGCCTAGCTGGTGCCCTTGGCTTGCCACCCAGGTATGACCTTCCTCCTGTCACAGGCGGGCTTGCGGCAGCAGGGGGCTTGCCCGGAGCCTCAGACGGTGCACAGCCGGGGCTGGCCGGCAGCGCTGCTGACCCCGGAGCCCTCGCGTGCGGCCACCACACTCACGGGCTTTTCCCTCGAGCCCTGTCCCACGTCTGCTACGCCTGTGTCGCAAGTTCCAGCAGGTGCAACATGGCCCAGAGAGGCGGGGCTGCAGCAGAGAGAGCTCACTGGCCCGGAGGGACTTGCCCCACAGTTCTGTCCCACACAGTCCATTCCTCAGCCATGCAGCTGGGGCCGCGTCATCCTCATCCACAGCGGGGACACCGCAGGGACTGGGGGAGGTACGGATTCTCACAAAAGGGCTTTGGAAACGGCGGGGCACGACGATCACACGAGGCTGTGAAATCGTCGCCACCTTTCCAACGTCTGGTTACTGCTCCACAGACCACAAACACACCCAGCTCATGCGCGGAGTGGCCCTCTGAGCTTAAAACCAAATTAACTCATTTCTAACAGACGCCAGGGACCCCACCGAAGGGCAGAGCTTGCTCCTTCCAACAGCAAATTACCTTTTCCTGACCTTGACCCATTGCAAGGAATTTGAGGCGGTTGCCTCCGAAGCCGCTGCGCTCGGCTAGTTTCATGAGGTCGCTGGCAGGGTCAGAGCCGGGACTCAGGATGAACACGATGGGCGAGTTTGGTGAGCTCTGCTCGAAAATGGCCTCGAAGCTGATCATCGGGGGCTGCACGTACCTGGGGAAGACACGAAGTTAGACAGCCCTCCCGGGAGGACAGGGCCCGCCTGTTGGTCCGTGCTGTCTCCTCTCAGGTCCGGAGCCTCTCACTCTCGCTCTGCTGCGGCTCTGCACAGCCTTCCTTGCCCAGAATCCACCTCCTGTGCACGTCCCCAGCCTGGACGTAAACTCCAGAAGGACAGGGCCTTCTCGGCCTCCTCCGGCACACGCGCACCTGCGTGCGGGGTCAGCGGACGTGGGCCGAGCCGGGGCCTCGGCTGGCCCTGCAGGTGGACGTGCCCTCGGCACCACACCCAGAGCTTCCACAGCAGCAATTCCACGGCCTGTCCTGAACGGTCTACGTGTAGAGTTTTGTGGGCCTCCTAAAAAATTAGTTGCCAACATGTAAAGATCGGGAGATTTCATGTAAAAATCTGAATTTCTAGCTTCTTTCGAGGAGTCAGGGGATTTAGCCACTCCGGGTCCCTGCTGCCGCCTGGTATCAGTCACCAGGTGCTAAGGGCAGCTGCCCTCTGGTCCAGGCCCCGCCCAGCCTCATCCAGTCACCCGCGCCGCCGTGAAGGCACGTCCGAGTTTGCAACCCCCCAACCGCCCCGGTAGCCGTCTGGCTTCGTGCCCCGAGCTAGAGCTGCGCTGTCCAGGACGGTGGCCACTAGGTGCATGTGGCTACTGGACACGTAAACTGTGGCCAGTTCCAATCGAGATGTGCTGCCAGTGTGAATTCCCACAGGATTTTGAAGACTTCATACCAAAAAAAGCATCTCAGTGATGTTTATATCGATTATACATTAAAATGACATTTTAATATATTCAGTTAAATAAAATATGTTATTAAAACTAATTTTACCTGTTTCTTTTCTAACGTGGCTACTAGAAAATTTGAAATTACAGACATGGCTCACGGTGATTTCTGAACGGCGCTGTTCTAGAAAGACTGTCGAGCACCGCTCCAAGTCAGGGCTGTGACCGTCCTCTCGGGAGCTGCCAGCTGCTGCTCTCTGCGAGTCCAGGTGGAGGGGACGGTGGATTTTCTACCCCACAGGAGGGGGCAAAGAAACAAAACAGCACACTTACTTCTCTCCCATTGTGACAGTCACGTAGTCGGTCACCGCCCGATACACCCGATCCACACGGAAACAGCGCAAAATAAGCAACTTCTGGAAAGGGGTGATGTTTTTATCGTAACCCAAGGGGAATGGAAGCTGCTCGAGTGAATCCACGTCATACCACTGGGAAAAGCAAAGAACATTCATTGTGGTGCCGACTCAGAGATGACACAGACCCCCCCCACTTTCCTATGAAGTTGCCTAAACCCACTGTAAAGGGACGAGAATCTGTAGACGTATGAGCTCATCTGGTCGGGTCAGTCACTCTGCACCCCAAAACCATACACTTCGGACAGGGAGGAACTGAGTCTCAGTCTCCGGTGCCCATCAGGGGACGTGGTGCAGGGTGGGTGCTCAACAAATATTTCCTGGAAGGATAGATGGATGGACGGATAGATGGATGGACAGACGGAAGGTTCTCCCGCACAGCTAGCTGCATTAGCCAAAGGAGGGGTCCGTCCAGGGAGTTAGAGGGCACGGATTACACCCCGAACGTGTTACTCAGAGGAGTGTGTTCTCGCGCATGGGGGCGAGGCCACAAGTTAAGTCTGGAGACTGCTGGCGGGTAGGGAAGGAGAGGAGGAGGAGGAGGACACGAGCTCACCTCCTGCCAGACCGTCTGATGATTCTCAACATCATCAGGGAGTCGCCCAAAGTCGTCTGAAAACATTTCTGATAAAAGAATGATATCTTCCCATCCCTGGTCAGACAGCCACGCACACGGCTTTTTTCGTTTGCTTTTCTCCAGGGAGATGTTCCCTAACAGGAGAGAAGCAGTGGCCACTGAGCTGCCCCCGCGAAGCAGGCAGCTGGGCACTCCGACTTCCCGCACTTTTGGGAAAAGCCCCGCTTCCCAAGGAGGAGGCTGGAAAGAGAAGGCGGCCCCTGCTGGCCCTTGTCACCCCCAGGGACCCCAAACAGGCGCTTAGCGTGGCCCCCAGGCTCAGGGCGGCACCGAGGCAAAGGCTGGCTGCTCGGAGTCCAACGGAACCCCTGCCGAGGCTGGAGTCAGCAACGGAAACATTTAATGAGGCAGTGCTGCTGGAAGCCAAGTTGTAAGAATTTCGCTGTCGGTTGTTTTAATGAACAAACTTATATTCATGTACCCTGTGAGTCAAGGAAACTGGGAAGAATAAAATCGGGCAGATCCATTACCTTTTAAAAAGAAATCTAGTTCCTCCTGGGGGACTCTCCCTTCTGCTTGTTCTATCTTGATAGTCATATTAAAAGAAAAGAGTAGCTTGTGCTTCTCAAACAACCCTGTAGGGAAACACCAGATGGGTATTGATAAAAAAAAAAAAAAATCATTTTAAAAACTGAGTTGTTTACGCAAGATATGCTTAAATTTAAGAGAAATGAAATGAAACACCCAACGTGCATGCATTTAGCCCTCTTTGCGCCTAATGTCCATGAATATCTAAATGCAAAAAAGATGGGCTTGGCTGGGTGTGAGGGTGCGCTCCTATAATCCCAGCACTTTGAGAGGTCAAGGCAGGAGGATCGCTTGAGCCCAGGAGTTGGAGGCTGCAGTGAGCTACGATCACACCACTGCACTCCAGCCTGGGTGGCAGCAGAGCAAGACCCTATCTCTTAAAAAAAAAAAAAAAAGATGGGTTCAACTTAGAGGTCATGCCCGAGTGCAGTCTATAGGGACATGCAAGTGAAATGGCCATGTCTACAGGAGGTTCTCATCACACTCTCCTGGGAAGAGGACAGTAGGGTGGAAAATCAAGTGAGGACAGAACAGGGGCACAGAGCCAGCTTCTCCCCCGAGCGCTGGTGGTTTGCCTCACTCAGAGTGTAAGTTCTTGTCCATTATAGTCTAGAAGAGGTGTCGGCAAACTCTCTGCAAAGGGCCAAATAGTAAATATTTTTGGCTTTGCAAGCTAGCTGGTCTCTGTCATAACTACTCAACTCCGCCATTGCAGTAAGAAAGTAGCCAGAGACAATATGTATATGAAAGAGTATGGCAGTGTTCCAACAAAACTTTATTGACAAAAGGAGGCTGTGGGCCGGATCTGGACTGCTGGCTGTAGGTTTGCAATCTCTGCTGTAGAGGAAGCACACTCCATCAACAGACTCTTTATTGATGGATGCAAAATACTAGATTTCTTCTTTTTTGTTTTTTTAACAGAAGAAATATGTTTCTGGGGAAACAATGTTTAAGTCAAAATTTGTGATTTGAATTCCACTTTATATGTGTTAGGACAGTTGGCTACCTAAGTGAGCCCTATAGGAACAATCTCTTTTCTGTCCAGCTGTAATGGGCTGAATTATATCTGTGCCCCGCGCCCCCCCCCAAACTTCGTATGTTGAAGCCCTAACCCCCAGTGCCTCAGAATATACTGTATTTGGTCATAGGGTCTTTAAAGATGTGATTGAGTTAAAATGCGACCATCAGCGTGGGCTCGAATCCAGTATCATTAGTGTCCTTATAACAAGAGGGAATTTGGACACACAGAGAAACCACCGGGGCTCGTTAGAAGAAAGACCATATGAGGACACGGTAAGAAGACCGTCGTCTGCAAGCCAAGGAGAGAGGCCTCAGGAGAAGCCAAATTACCAAAACCTTGATCCTGGACTTCTGGCCTCCAGAACCATGAGAAAATAAATTCCTGTTGGGTAAGCTACCGAGCCTGTGGCATTTTTCTATGGCAGTCCCAGCAAGCTCGTACCCCGACCACCGGTGGCATATGAGACGTTGTTCTCAGCACAGTGTCTTACGAGAGACCCTCCCAGGACTCACTGCACGACAGGCTTCTGGTTAAAAATGGCCATTCTGAGCTTATCCCAACTCCCTCCCAAAAATCTACTAAAATAAAATGAGACTTTTTTTGAAAGGTATAAACTCTAAGAAAATTGGAGAAAAGCAATAGCAGCAAAATTTTGCCAACTAAAGACAGATGGAGAAGCAAGAACTGATTTAGCAGAGCTGAGAAGGTTGAATCTTGCATCAGGAGGAGCTAAGGCTGAGAAGCAAGCCACAGAATCCACGAAAAGCTCAGAAACTGGCAGCACCAGGTGCCTGGAAATGGGTGAACACGGGCTAACAACAGGAAGACAGGCGGGCAGTTCGTTTAGACACGCTCAGGTCCCAGATCCCCCCCTCACACTCCTGCTGCCGGGCGACTGCCCTCCCCACCCAAGTGAACTTTGGAAAACTTCGGAAAACATAAAACAGAGTCTCTGTGCACAGGGAAGACCAGGCATGGCTGCAGGGAAACCATGTGCAAATACGGCTCTAACCGAAAGTCTCTGTAGCGACAGTTGCAGTCGCCGCCTTCTCTCCTCACACGGTGCCCAGAATGCTGACAGCCAGGATGACGTAATTTAGGAAGAGGATGGAGACTCTTGTTCAGGGACCATCACGGCCTCATGAGAACAGAACTATCTATGTTGGCATCTGAGCATTCCCCGACGACACAGCCCAGCCAGGTCACCCAGCGAAGCCCACACTGGCCAATCCCATCCAAGCACAGAACTTCCCAATGAGCCTTTTAGTTCCACTCTTAAATATGAACAGATATCCAGTGATCACCAGACATTTGATTAAAGCTTCTAATTGAAATACAGACGCCAAAACTAACAAATGGGAGGGGGAGACTTACAGCAAGTAGAGGCTATTTTATGCAAGAAAAATTTAGAAAACTATCATAAAAATCTTCTGAGGGCCGGGCGCGGTGGCTCACGCCTATAATCCTAGCACTCTGGGAGGCCGAGGCGGGCGGATTGTTTGAGCTCAGGAGTTCGAGACCAGCCTGAGAAAGAGCGAGACCCCGTCTCTACCCAAAAATGGAAAGAAATTAATTGGACAGCTAAAAATATATGTAGAAAAAATTAGCCGGGCATGGTGGCGCATGCCTGTGGTCCCAGCTACTCGGGAGGCCGAGGCAGAAGGATCGCTTGAGCCCAGGAGTTTGAGGTTGCTGTGAGCTAGGCTGACGCCACGGCACTCGCCCCAGGCAAGAGAGTGAGACTCTGTCTCAAAAAAAAAAAAAAAATCTTCTGAGAACTAAGTTTCTCTATGAAACAAGAACAGAATTATTTTTTTAAAAAAAAAACAAAACAATATTGGTAAAACAAAAGGGTTCTTGAAAATTAAAAATATGATATTCAAAATGAAGTACCCAACAGAAGCACTGGAAGATAAACTTGTAAAATATTTCCCAGAGAACAAAGCAGCAAAACAAAGACATGGGAAATAGGAGAGAAAAGAAAATTAGAAAATTAGAAAATCAGCCAGGGAGGTCCAACATCTAAATAGTAAGAGTTCCAGAAAGAGAAAAGAGGGCAATTAGAGAGGAAGAAACTATTAAATAATTCAAGAAAATTTTTGCAGGCTGAAGGAAATGGTTTAGAAGTGCAGATCACAATGGATAAATATGTCCAAACCAGTCCAAACCATTGTGAAATTTTAGAGTATCTTTGAAAAAGAAGATAAGATACTAAAAGCTTCTTTACAAAAAGAATCAGTATTAGAATAGTATCAGACTTCTCAACAGCAATAATGACAGTGAAAGGAAAAATGTGGATGAAAATAATTTTCAAAACTAGAATTCTATACCCAGCCAAACCATTAATCAAATTTGAGAGTAGAATAAAGATATTTTCAGATACGCAGTGTTTCCAAAAATTTTCCAACTATGCACCTTTTTTTCAGGAAGCTACTAGAGGAGGTACTACACCAAAATAAGGAGTAAAACACAAATTAGGAAGACACGAGATACAGAAAAACAGGAGAATCAACACAAGAGAAAGGTATAGTGAATCCCCAAGATGATGATGGGTAGATGTCTGGGTGGAGAGACTTGGTCCATCCCGAAACAGGTAATTCTTTTTTAGAATTTCCTAAAGGTATCTTGATTTTGGAACCATGTAAAATGTTTAAATTTTTGATTTTAAAACATCCCTAACAATCAAAGGCAAAATGAAAAAAACGTGAACATAACTGTGTATCGAGTTGGTGGTATACAGAGAGGAGCTATCCTGAGTGACGTTAAAGCAGTCATTTGTACTTCCCGCCAGCGACATATTCCTGCAGAGACAGAAGCGCGTTCCGAACTGCTTTCAGCAATCGCATCGACGGTGGTTGCATCGTGATCGTTATTCTGAGACTATTTGTGTGTGTGTGCGTGCGTGTATGTGTGTGCTGTGAAATAAAGTGATGTTTAATTAATAATTAATTAATATTAAATTAATAATAAGAAACCAGGGTTTTGCATGAGAAAAGGAGATAGATACTGGTGCACTATGAACTCATGGTATATTTTTTAAATTTCTTAGCTCAATCCACTGAAAAAGCATTGAACACCCATAGCACTGATATTATGGTCTCTAAATACCGTTTCCTGCTAAAAAGAACCAGGGCTTCTTGGATAAATGGCTGACTCCAGGTGGGCAGGTTATGTTCACAGAGTGGGGCAAGAGCACTCATAAACCAACCTGAAAAGGCTCCAAAGGGCCAAAGGTAGGATGATTTTGAACATCAATAAGGACAGTTACTGAAATGTACTGAAATACGTTAAATGTTTAAATACACGAATTCATGAGAATATAAAAATTAAAAATAATAAAGGAAAAGAGTCAAGCATTTGATCTGCCTTTCCCATATATAGTTGATCAAAGTTTCTCTTCATAGAAAGCATTTCAGCTAATAAATACAGAATGATTGCAAGAATTAGAATATTGCCATTTGCAACCCTTAATAAATAAACAGATTTAGAAAATTCTTTTCATTGGCTGCTAATATCAGAAAAAAGAAAAAGACAATTAGAAATCACATGATTCCTAATAGAAATATACAGCACCACATACAAAGTGTTCTTACCCAAAACAGAACCGGGATCTGCCCAACTCTTAACTCTGTTACAAATTTACAAGAAATATAGAGGACAGAGCAACATTTTAAACACTCAGCAAAGATGCAATCAGCAAAATTCAGGCTATGGGAAACAATCCAAGACAATCAAGCAGATTTCTTCCACAAATAAACACAAGAGGAAAAAAGAAATAAAGTGACATACAACCAGTTGTAATGTACAGAGTCTACAGACCTTATCAGGGTCCTGATTTAAGCAAATGTGGAAAATAACCTATAAGACAATTGGGAACATTTGAACACTAGATAAATGATATTACAGACTTATTAATTTTTAGGCATAATGGAATTATGTCTATTTTTGAAAAGGAATCCTTATATTTTAGAGCAGGGATGCGCAAACTGCAGCCCAGGGGCCATATCCAGCCCACTGCCTGTATTTGTAAATAAAGTTTTATTGGAACACAGCCATGTTCCTTCATTTACATATTGTCTATGGCTGCTTTTGTGCTACAGTGGCAGAACTGAGTAGCTGTGACAGAGACCACAAAGCCTTCAAAGCTTAAAATACATTCTATTTGTCCCTTACAGGAAAAGTTTGCTGACCCGTATTTTAGAGATATAAACTAAAATACTAACAGATAAATGGTGAATATGCAGCAAATTTTCAAAATAATCTGTGCCACCAGGGAACTGTGCTATGGTATGTAAACGACCCCAGAGCTGATCATTGCTGGGTGACGGGTACTCGAAGGATCATTATACTGTTCCCATTTACATACGTATGAAGTTTTCCATAATAAAAAGTTTTTTAAAATCAGTGTTTTAGGGGCTGAAAAATACTGTAGCCACTTTGGAGAACAGTGTGGTGTTCTTTGAAAAGTTAAACATAAAGTTACCCTATGACCTAGCAATTCCATTCCTAGATATATACCCAGGAGAATTTAAAACATATGTTCACACACAAACCCGAGCATGAATGTTCACAGCAGCGTTATCATAATAGCCAAAAAGAAGAAACATTCCTACCGCCCATCACCTGACGAACAGGTAAACAAAACGTGATCTGGCCGCACAACTGAACATCATTCAGCTATAAAAACGAATGACATACTAATAACACGCTACAAGCATGGAACGACCCGTGAGCACACTAGCTGTGTGAAAGACACCTTCCTGAAAAGTCACATGTGTGATTCCACTGATATGAAATGTCCAGAGTAGGTAAATCCACAGAGACAGGAAGCAGATTAGCAGTTGCCAGAGACGAGGGCTGGGCGAATCGGGAGTGACTGCCAACAGGTGCTGGCTTTCATTTTGGGCCAACAAATATTCTGGAACCACGCAGCGGTGGTGGTTGCACAACTCTGAATACACTACGAATCACAGAGCTGCGCATTTTTAAAGAGCGAAGTTGTGGTATGTGAATCATATCTCAATAAAGCTGCTGTTTCAGAAATCAATGCTTTAAACATTGCTCTCTGTCAAGTGAGCAGCCGCACTAAAGAATGCCGTCTGGTCCGTTGCCACGTTCACAGGGCGAGTCTCCTCAAAGCCCCACATCGCACACGCCAACCCCACGTTCGTCCTGCCCGGCGGGAGGTGCTCACCTGTGCAGCCGTAGTTATAGATGTTGAAGGTCAGCGTGTCCATGATGTTCTTCAGTCGCTTCGTGAGAATGGAATCGGGCAGCGACTTCTTCAGCGACAACCCGAAGACCTCCAAGAAGGCGACCAGGGAGTACTGGTACATGGAGTTCACGAGGGCCATCTCCGACAGCACGAAGAACAGGATGGCGCCCCTCCTGGCGGCCGGCCGGTAGCCGTCCCGCAGCCGGTCGATGTCCGAGGCTGTCTTCTCCGCCAGCTTGAGCTTCTCCGATACCTGAGGAAACGGCGCGAGTTACCCTGGAAGCAGGAAGGCTCGCAAAACGGACAGAGGGCAGGAGTGGCCGGGGACAGCAAAGAGACGCCTGCAATGCCCCAGGGCGGTAAAAGCCAGCAGGGACCGCGGGACCAAGGGCGCCCGCCCTCTTGTCAGGCGGGGTGGGTGTCTGCGATGTGTGCTGGCTTCCCCGCCCCCGAGCCCCCTCCTTCTAGGACAGTCCCTGCCTTTACACTTCCAAGTACTCCCCTCCCCTTTCCACTCCAACTCCAGAGGAGGAGCATGTGACCCAGGCCCAGCCAATCAAAGCCTGGCATCCCCAGGCTGCGGGACTGGTTTGGGGTGTGCGTGTGACTTAAGTGACTCTCAGGACCTTTATGATAGGATCAGGAAAAGATTCTCACTTATCCCTTTGGACTTCCCCCTGAGAGGACGTGAGGCCAGACCTGGTCTTGTGACCGTGCGAAGAGCTGGCAGAGAATGAAGCCAACCCAGCAGACCCCGCCAAGACATGGAGAGAAATCAAGACCAGATGGTACTTTTTCAAGTCCTGGATCCAGCCCTGCCTGAAGCCATCCCTGAACTTTTCTGCTTTCTAAGCTGATACCTTCCCTTTACATATGCCGGGTCGGGCTGTGTTTTCTATCGTTCTCAGTTGAAAGAGGCTGACCTGGTGCACAGAGGTCCCTGGGAACACCTTTAGGACTCCCCTCCTCACGGCAGACCTCGGTAGAGGTGGCCTTTATCATCCGGCAAATCCCCAGGCGAATCAAGGCCTGAGTCTGACGAGAGACAGGCGGGTGGCCCCCCAGCCCTCGGCTACAAAGGCCGTGACCACGAACGAGCCCGAGAGCACAGAGTCTGATTCTCTCACTGAGCAACCAAGGAAGCGGGTGCTCCAAGGCCACGTCCGTGCCCCCGTCCCCGGCCACACACATTTTCCACTGCGGCTCCCACCTCCGTGGCTTTGGACTTGGTCTCCTCCAGGGTCTGCACCAGCTCCACGTTGTCCAGCATGTTCCCCGTGGAGGTTGCCAGCTCCCGCAGGAGCGAGTCCTCCAGGTCCTTGAGCAGGTTCTTATTCTCGCTGGTCTCCTGGATGAGGTGCTCCCGCTGCTCCTCCAGCTCTCGCCTCTCGTAGGCCACCAGCACACTCAGCAGCTGGTCCTCCAGGCCCTTGAGCGTGACTGTGGGGACAGCGAGAGGCGCTCACCGCCTGTGGCCCGGACGAGCCGGTCACTGCATCTACACCTGCACCACCGGGCGGGACAAGCTGAGGGCCGTCTAAGCCTGTGTGTCGGTGGCAAAGGGACGCATGTCCTACCAAGATCACTCTAAAGCAGCAAAGTGACAAACATCAGACAGCAAAATGGTGACGCTGCTCTGCAGAGCGTGGGCAGAAAGCAAACGCACTAAAATAAAACCCAGGGCTCCCACATACTGGGAGACTCTAGTCTGAAGTGCACCCCAATCTAACTCAGCTATTCGAGCAGCTGCGTGGCAGCCCTAGGAAACGTGAGAGGCGCTGTCCGGTTCCTATCCCAGACGCATGGCACATGCTGAGATACACGAATACGGAATAACTTCCTGCCCGGCACACAGAGGCCCGGCCCCGGCCAAGTGTGGATACACGAGCCCACGGTCTGGTCTCGGCATGCCTCAGGACACGTGACCCACGGCCTTCCAAAGGCCCCAGACTTTCTAGGGGTTGCTCATCATCACGAAGAGCTGACGGGTCAGGACGTGGCCGTGGGACTGAGACGACGCGCTAGGAAAGCCCGGATCCCGGACTGTGGTCCCAGGACAAACAGCTTCGTTTGCAGCTGGGGCCCTACACATCCTCACCGGTGTAATTGATCACCATGGCTCTCCCGAACACGGACGGGCCGTATCTGGGGTTGGCCAGCTTGGTGTTTAGGTACAGCCTGAAATTTGGATCGTAGTCAACCTCCTTGTCTCCCAGTATAATAAACTGCCGTCCTTGGGAGAATTTTATGTTTTTCTCTAAGACGTTATCAATCACAGGGTCGATGTATTCGTCAACGTCGTGGAACAGGAAAGGAGTCCCGTACTTTATGGACATCTCCAGCTGCTTGAGGAAGTCGGGGTCATTGAAGGAAGCAACCTGGAAGAGAGGAGAAGCAGATGCTGAAAGTTAAATCCAGGGAGACAGCCTTGGAAGTGGGAGTGAAAGAGTCAGGAACTTGAGGGCAGCCAGGGGTAAAAAGAAGAGAGAACAGCAAGGCGTGTAACCCACGTAAACGCGGATTGTAACCCATGTAAACCCGGAAATCCACGTGGTTCAGGCTCAGAGCAGCATCTCATTCAAAGAGGGTGCGCAGGAAGGGAAAGGGGGTTTACTTGCCGCCCCCCGCCAAATAAGCTAGAATTCCTTCCTCCTTAAGAGACAGGGTGGGAGCTGGAATCGGACTGGGGGACTGGGATCAGCTGGCAATTGCAGAAGTCTCCGGCAAGCTGAGGGGAGAGGGAGTCTAGGGGAAATTCCTGCATTAGTAATATTCGTCCCACTATAGCTCCATGGGAACGTTAGAGGCAGATGTTCTCCTGACCTTGGAACTCAAATGGGCTTCCCCCTACAGCACGTAAATACCCGGGAGCAAGGACCAGAAAATACAAGGAAAAGGTAAAACTGGAAGCCATTAATTTGTCCATTAGTTCAGCAAAAAACGACCAGGCCCCAGCAATTCCGCTCCTAGTACATACCCAAGAGAACTGGAAACACGTCCACTTAAAAACCTGTACGCGGACGTCCACGACAGCGTTACTCACAATGGTCAAAAGGGGGAAACCACCTGAGTATCCATCGACAGACAGATGGAGAAACAAAATGTGCCAAACCCTTGCAAGGGACTATCGTTCAGCCGCAGGAAGGAACGGGGCACTGACAGGTGCTCCAGCGCCAGGAACCTCGCCAGCAGGGTGCTCAGCAGAAACAAACCCGACACGAGAGGCCACACAGCGTATGAGTCCATCTGTGTGACACGTCCAGATGGGCCGAGCCACGGGGAAAAGTAGATCGGTGGTTGCCGGGGGCTGGGGGCGGACAATGGGAGGTCTGGACGGGGCGAGGGCGAGAGGATACAGCTTTTCTCTCTGGGGTAAAAAACGTTCTGAAATGGAGTCTGGTAGCTGCTGCACCACTGCATGAACGTACTAAAACCCATGGAATTGTAAGCTTTACGCGAGTGAGTTGTACGGGACCTGAATGACAGCTCAGTCAGCTGTCGCACTCGCCCCTCCGCCCCCTCCTCCCCACGCCAGCTCCAACACCTAGCCCGTGAGCACCCAGGCCGCCGAGCGCTGTCCTGGGCAGGCTGGACGCAAAGCTGAGGACGCCGCCATTTCCGCCCTCGCCTTGCTCACAGCCTGAGGCGTGCAAACGCAGGAGTAAAATTCAAGGTGGATGGAGCCGCCCCGGAAGACTCACAGGGTGGGGACCGAGGGGGGGCGGGCTTCCCTTGGGGGGTCGGGTGGTGGCACTTCAGCTCGGCCTCGCTGGAGCCGCGGGGCTGTGCCAGGCGCGGGGGGCTGGGAGCGGGCGCGACCCAAGGGGGGCAGCGCACCCACCCGCAGGTTGTTCCTCTCTTCCTTCCTCTTTATCCAGTTGAGCGCCTGCTGCTGCGGGTCGATGCAGAGCGGGAAGCGGCTGGCGCGGGTGGTGAGGATGCCGTTCTGAATCGACAGCTCGTCGGGGGGCAGCCCCTGGGAGCCCCACCTGGAAGGGACAGGCACAGGGACGTTCGTTTTTCCACCAAGTTGTGAATCAAGTGCTAAGGGTGGTGAGATTGGCCTTCCAGAACAATCTACCAATCTGCCCAGGCTCTTCAACCCTCCTCAGACTCCGGGGAGAAGAGCTAGGGCTGGACCTGTCACCCACCCTGCCATTCTGTGCAGTCGGGCCAGCTGCAGCCCTTGCCAGGCCCCCGGGGCCGTCAGCCCTCCCCCGGGGTGACACCCCCAGCCCACTGGCTCAGAGCGCCACACACCTGCTGATCTCCACGTCGTCCGTGAGCAGGCTTTCGAGGCGGAACGGCTGGCTCAGGGGGATGTCCCGCTCCAGGATGTCGTTCTGCCAAATCTCGTTGACCATCTCGTGGCGGAACTCCCAGGTGAAGGCGCCTTCGTAGCTCAGGAAGGCGGCGCAGAGCAGGCAGTCTCCCAGCAACTTGACGCGCCGGTGCATCAGCTCGTCCAGGTCCTTCAGCCACCTGGCGGGCACAGGGGAGGGAGGCTGCAGTGAGCAGCTGCCTTCTGGCCACAATCGAAAGGAACATTCTAGAAGGATCGGCTTGACACCTTGCTAACAGGGCCAAGAAGAAACATTTTTTGAGCTCGTCTTCCCTCGTAGAGAACAGAGAGCGCCACCTCATTTCGCGGGCTCCCACCCCCCTGCTCCCAGGGCCTTGAAGACTTTGCTCAGCTCCAGGGCTCAGCAGGTGTTGGTGGGACCCACTTTGTCTGAAAGCCGTTGATTCAGCCGCGATCACACTGTTTCCAACGCTCAGTCAGAGACGTGTAAATGAGCCCAGCACAGCCAACGAGCTTGGGCCCGCTAGACAACAGAATTCTACCCAAGATAAAAGGAAGCTCTTAGTTTCCCTTGGCCTCTTCTGGTAAACGTCCAAAGTCTTTTAGTTCTAGAAATATTGAAAATTGTTTGTTCCCCACAAGCAAAAGATATTTTCCAGTGTTTTTGTTTTTTTTTTAATTGAAGGATATGGCTGAATCCAGTGTTTTTTATGCCACGTTTACAGATGCCAGATTCGAAACTATTGTCACAGCCTGTGGAAAAGCCACACAGTCTTGCCCATGAGCATCAAACAGCCCCACCCACTGAAGCCTGAAGCCCAGGACTGAACACGCCGCTAGGGCCCTCACACGGCATCTCTGCAGAGACACACGTGGGCTCTGCCTCTAGATCCCTCCGAAACGGACCCAGGGGCTAAAGGTCACCAAGAAGGAAACATTCCCCAAACCCAGGGCAGATGGCCAAATGCTACTGGTCTCTCCCCGTCTCCACGGCTACGCTTACTGCCTCCGTAGCCCTGAGAGGTCACGTAACGAATAGCACTCGGTACGTAATAAAAAAGGAGTCTATACAACGTCCATCAGCCACTGTAAACGTGGTAATGAGACAGTGAGAACTTGCCGCACGGTTTTCAATAAACACACAATGGGAATAAAGAATCAGCACGGCAAGGAACTCTGTTGGTGACGCGTGTTTGGGAGCCGCAGGAGGTGCCCGCGAGCCGTGCTGACCTGATGTTTTCCGAGCCCAGGCCCGAGATGAGCTTGTCCGCGGCGATCAGCCGCCGCTCCATGATCTCGGCTTCCTCCTGCAGCTTTTGCTTTTCCAGGATGGCCGCCTCGTACTTGGC